TGCCCACATCACCCTGACGGCCCCACCAATTTGGTCCACACCCTCCCGGGCCCACCCTCCTGTGCACCCCGGTCCCTTGAGCCCAGCTCTGCCTCTGGGCCAGTGGGAAGGAACAAGACACCTTCCTCTCCCACGCCCTCACTCACCGGGCCCCCTCTGAGGCCTCAAACACCTCGTCGTCCACATCCTCTTCCCCGCCTGCCTCAGCCTCGTCCTCATTGCCACTGCCCAGGCTGGGATGTGGGCCAGGGCATGGGCCGGGACGTGGGGCAGGTGGGCGGGCAGTGCCAGGTGGGCCCTCAGAGCTGGGCTGACTCTCGATGGCCGAGTCAGCCTCCTCCCGCTCGGCCAGCACCTCGTCGATGTCAGTCTCGCGGTAGCACCTCAGGGGCACCATGTCCAGGTCCGTCTCCGAGTACTTGGCTGCTCGCCCCACAGCCACCCCAGAGCCCTGCCCTGAGCCCACCCCAGGTGGAGATGGGGGGGCCTGCTCTGGGGGCTTAGCACCTGTAGTACGCATAGGCATCGGGTCAAGAGGTTATCCACGTCAGCTCCCGTCCTGATCCCATTCTAGGAGCACTCCCCACTGCCTCATGTTGGCAGGAAGTTCTGTCCCTGGCTAGCCCCCACTCTTCCTGCTGCAAACTTGGCTTGTTCCTGGTGCCAGTGGAGCCCACTGCAAACCAAGTTTTTGTCGAATGGTTTTAAAGAGACTGAGAGAGACCAGCCTTTTTTCCACTCCAAGGAATGAGCTTAACATCTGCTATCCTCTCCCTCTGCTCCCCAGCTTCCTCTAGCTGCCCAACCCAACCTCTGTCCTCATCACACAGATGGGGACGTTGAGGCTGGGGTGGCACCAGCTGCCTTGGGGGCCCGGGACAGGACTGGGGGCGGTCCGAAGGCAGGCTTCCTACCAAGCCTCCGTTGCTAAAGGGGAGCCCTGTCCTGGTCCCCTTGTCTCAGTCTCAGGCCTTACCTGAGCTGGGGGGGTCCAAGGAGCCATAGAAGAATTCCCATTTGGCTCGAGCGATTCTCTGGGCATGAGAGGACACTTCCCGGGGGGTGTACCACGTGTCCCCCTGAGGCAAGAACAAAGGAACAGACAGGACACCCAGAGGTAAAGCCAGGCATGTAAGGACACAAGAATATGGGACAGAAACAGGAATAAAAACACATAGGGACAGGGATGGAGGCACAGGGACATAGGGACAAACACAGAGGGCAGGAAAGGGACAGATTTAGGAAACATTAAAGGGTTCATAATGTACAGTAGACAGGCCTAAGTCTGACAGGGAGCTTCTCCTTGCCCCTTCTCAGGGGCACTGGGCCCCAGGGAGGTTGAGAGAGGTTGCATACCTGGTTCAGAAATCCAGCGTCAACAGGTCCTCGGAAGAGTGTGGCCAGGTGCTCAGGGGGCCCCCCCAGCCCGTTGGGGAGGGAAGAGTAAAGGCCGTCTGCCCCGACCTGGGGTGGGACTGGTGGCCTGTGTAAAGGGTCCCGGCTGCTAGGAAGGGCTGACCCTCCTCCCGCTGGGAGTGGGTCTGATGTGGATGCCTCCAGGCGCAACTTCCGGTTGGAGCTGGGCCCAAGGGCTGTGGTGGGCCTGGGTGGAGAAACCCCACCCAGGTCCCAGCTCCGACTTAATCCTCCCGAAGCAGGTAGCCCATTCAGCGGCCTCACGCTGGCCTTCTCCACAAAGCGGAAGATGACCACGGAGCTCCGTGCCCCTGGTGGTGGCTGCCCAGTAGGCGAAGAGGGTGCCCAGGGTGAGAGAGCAACACGGGGTGAAGGGGGGCCACGCAAAGGCGTACAGGGTGCTGTCACACGTCCCAGTTCCCGGCCTCGGGAACCTGGACCTGCCACTCGCCGGAGCAAGGAGCCTGCGCTGCCATACATGCTGGCTGGGGGGCTCTGGGGCACGGGGCCTTCGGGGAGCCAGCGGCGTGGGCATCGTGGTGGGGAGATGGCACAGTCACCTTCTGAACAGAAGCGCATGGCACCCTGGGCCATGCTGGGGCCGGGGGTCAGGCTGGGGGGGCAGGGATGGCGAGGCCAGGCGGGGAGTGAGGGGGCTGCATGCTCTTCAGACAGGCCTGCAAGAGAGGAAGGGGAGCAGGGGGTAAACTGCCAGGGAGTTAGATGCGCAGGACAGCAGAGACAGGAAGGGGAAAGGTGGTGGGGTCTCTGAAGACCAGGGCCCTAGCCCACCCTGGGACTATGGGATCAGTGATCCCACCCCCAGGGGCTACTTCCATGGAGGCCTGAGCAGAAAAGAACCGTCCACCTCATGGGCCCCTGGCGCCTTTCCTGCCTGGGGCCCTGAGCACCGCCTGGGAGGAGAGAGGAAGCTGTTTCAGAAGGTGAGTGTGCTTGGAGTCCCTGCAGCACTTTGGAGCTACTTCTGACATGAGGGAGGCTGGCACTCCATCCTCTACATTAGGAGGGTCAGCCCGCCATCACCACTACCCATTCCTGGGCCACCATGGTCCCTTTTGTGGAGGCCCCTCACTCTGACAGGAGAAACTCAGGCCTCCTGGAAGGAGAAGGAGGAAAAGTGGGGGTTACGTAGGGACAATGGTGGGTTGAGAGGCACAGGGCAGAGACAGAAGAAAGGCCTGAATGGAGGCCCTTCCCCATACATTCATGCTGAATGGGAAAGGGACATCCTTGTTCTCTAGATAGGTATAGACACACACGCATACGCACGCGCGCACACACACACAGACAAACATGCCAGTACAGTTTAATACGTTTGCAAGCCTCACATTCCGGCACACACAGGCACGGGCACAAACACCCTACTCAGAGACACACCCTCATACACTCTCACAGTCATAACAAATATGTGTGTAATGGAAAGGCACATGCTTGTTTTACACACACACCATCATCAAACACACACACAAAGAGGTACCCGAATATATATATATGCACTTTCGTTCTCCAGTGCACACAGAGAAACAGGTGTGTCACACACATACACAGACCTACTGCTGTGATCACACGCAAATACAGAGACACACGTACGTGCATACTCAAGCAGGGAGGGACACGCATCCTCCCTTCCCCCTCCCCAATCACCTTGTCTTGGGGGGGCACTGCATCATATCCCTCTCCTCCCTCCTCCCTCTGGGAGCCACGACAGATCTTGTCAAGTCTGGGAGTGACCATAAAGGGGTAATGGGGCCTCTGTTGGCAAATGCAGGTTGGGGCAGGGGTCAGGAGCAGCATCCCGGACAGGCAGGTTCCTGAAGCTCAACCCAGACGCAGGCGTGTCCGCTTTGCAGCCGGCTTCCAAAGCCTCAGTACTCACCGCTGCTCGCCTGGAGCTGGGACCGAGGAGAGGCTGGGGAAAGGCTGGGCCCAGCTCAGCTGTGAAGGCAGCACGGCTCCCGCTTGCTCCAGGCCCGCCCGCCTCTCAGTCCCCCGCCCTCTCCCAGGGCCCTGAGCCCCGGAGGCTTGCAGCCCCCCTCGTAGCTAAGTCCCTGCTCGGCTCTCCCGCCAACCTAAGACCCGCCCCAGACTAGGGGGAGGGCAGATGGAACCCCTGTTCTCTTCCCCAGACGCTCACGTGCTCCACCCCACTCGTGTCCACATCCCTGTCGTCCACAGCCCCCTGAGCCACACGTAGGGCCCAGCTGCACACGCGTGTCCTCAGGAGGCTGCCACATGACCTGTTACATGCCACACGCGCTCCCGCCCCCACGAGCACGCGGCCGCGCCAGGCACACGGTATGGATGTACACTGGACCCGCCCCCTAAATCCAGGAGACCATCGACTATGGAAGAAAGATCTGGGGGACACCGTCTTGAACCCCCGTGGTTCTGAGTGTTGCACCCAGGAGACCCAAGCCTGACCACCCACTCAGGATGCAGCAGGAGGGATGTTAAGTCAGACTTCAGGAAGAACTTCCTTGCTGCCTGAATTAAGTGTCCCACCTGCCCAGAAGTCAAAGGTTAGACGGAATGACACCCGGTAACTGGAGGAAGTGGGGGACAGGCAACCCTTGTGCCCTTGGCCAGGATAGAAGGGGGGCCGGCTATTTTAAGAAAGGGCCGCTCGAGTTACTCTAGTAATTACTCTCCTTAGGAAGGCCAAGGCAGGCAGATGGTGACCTCGGAAGGAAGAAGGGGTCTTTCTGGCGGTCAGGGGGGCGCGAGGACGTGCTAGGCGGGGGCGCGTAGGGCTCACCGCGGGGAGGGGCGGCACAGGCTCCGCGTGGTGCTGAAGGGGACAGCGCCAGATTTGTCGCACTGCGCATGCGCAGAGGCGGGAACAAAAAGCGGGGGGGGGGGGGAGGCGCGCGGCCGGAGGTGGTGCGCGCCCACGTAGCTCTATCTTTGCAGAGGTCAATCCTCCCACCTACCCCCTCTTCAAGTAGGCTGAGAAAGAAAAGCAAACAAGCCCCTCACCCAATTTGACCCTCCTCTGGTCTTTCCCCACTACTGACTTCTTCTTTCTCGCTGCAATGGAGGGTGGGGGAGTGTGGAAGGGATTCTGGGAAAAGCAGGATGTCTAGGTTCTCTACGCCCCGTCTCGCTAGATTCTGGCCAAGGCACTTCCTCTCCAGGGCCTTGGTTTCCCTATCATTAAGACGGAGTGATAGCACAGCCCTGCCCATTTTGCAGAAGGGCCTGAAGTCCTGACAACAGATGGGAAGCAGTTTTCGTTACAAAAAGGAAGGTAAAGCGGTTGCACCAAAGAGCGCAACTCCCAGCGAAGGCAGTGGCCCTCGCGTCCTTCACGCACATCCAGATCCACCCGGTGAATGACGAGGAAAAACACCACCCAGGAACTAGGACCTGAGGATGCCGTGAAAGGCGGCCCAGAGTCTGAGTTTTGAGCGCTGGGGGCGTCACTGCCCCGTGAGGACCCAGCCTCAGACCTCTTAACTAAATCCAAGGCCAGCCGAGAAGCAATACCCCTATCAGGCTGAGCTGAGCACTTCAGGACTCTGGACCTCTGGAGGATAGGAAACGCAATCGGCTGGATATATAGACCTTAGCGCCCCCTACGAAACCGCGTCCACACTGTCCCGGAGTGCAAGGGGCCGAATAGTTCTGTACTTCACAATTAACCACGAATGGGAGGGTTGAGCAAGTTTGCTTGCTGAAGAAAAATTCTAGCTTTGCCTCATTCATGCCTCCTTTCAACAGTTACGTATGGAGCACCTACTACGTGCCACACAGTAAGCGCCTGAATAGTTTCTTCCAATCTTTCAAAGGGGTTAAACGCAACCAGAGGACACAGGGGAGACCAGTAACCCGGGAGTCCTGGCTCCTCCCCTTCTGTTTGGCCTTGCCTGCTCTTTCCAACGCCCCTTCACACATAGGCGGCCACTGGCTCTAGACGAAGACGGGAACCAGTCTCGTGCCCACCGCCGTCTCCAGCTTTTGGCCTCAAGCCTTGTAGTCGCGAAGGCGAGTTTTAATGTTACACTATCGGGCTGTTTCGCCTCAGTTTCGGGGTTCATCTGGAAAGCTTTCAGATAGGCTCCTCAGTGAGACGGCATTCGATTGACTCAGTCTGTCTCTACAGCCCAAGGAGGCGGGTTCACAGCGACAGCTCCAAAGCCAAAGCGAGACCTTACTGCGCACGCGCAGTAGACAGCCGAAGGAGCCACCGATGGAGCTGTCCGGAGGGGAGCAAGAGCCAGGAGCCGTCAGGTACCGTGCATAGGAGAGAACGAGGGAAGGAAGGGGGATCTGAGGGAGGGGAGTTGAGCCAGGGCCCGGTCTGGGGGCCGCTCTTAGGAACCACAGCGCTCATAACGGAGGTAGACGCGCAGGTACCAGAGGCTCGGAGACACTATAGCGCTTTCACCCGTAGGCTCCTGGACCTGCCCTGGGAAGACGTGCTGCTTCCACACGTCCTGAACCGGGTCCCGCTGCGCCAGCTGCTCCGGCTGCAGCGCGTTAGCCGGGCCTTCCGGGCGCTAGTACAGCTACACCTGGCGGGGTTGCGCCGCTTCGACGCCACTCAGGTAAGCGGAGGGCCAGAGCCCCGCCCCCGTCTGGGTTCTGCCCTCGCCCCGCCTCTGCCTAACCCCCAGGCCCTCACTATACACTCCCGTACCCCCGGGCTCGCCTAGGAAGCGATCCACTTAGCTGGGAGTACTCCCAAAGGGGCAGTACTAGGTAGTGACTCATGAGGAGCGTGGGGCCTCTCCTGGGAGGGCAGGTGACTGCCAAGAGAGAACTCCTCAGGGGCGGATAGGCCGCACCAGTCTCGCCCCCGGGACAGGCTGAGGGTCGAGGTGCCTCCCCGCCCGCAGGTGGGTCCGCAGATCCCGCGGGCCGCATTGGTTCGACTGCTACGGGATGCCGAGGGGCTGCAGGAGCTGGTGCTGGCGCCGTGTCACGAATGGCTGTCGGACGAGGACCTGGTGCCGGTACTGGTGCGGAATCCGCAGCTGCGGAGTGTGGCGCTGGCCGGCTGCGGGCAACTGAGCCGCCGCGCGCTGGGGGCGCTGGCCGAGGGCTGCCCCCGTTTGCAGCGCCTGTCGCTTGCGCATTGTGACTGGGTCGACGGGCTGGCGTTGCGCGGCCTCGCCGACCGCTGTCCGGCCCTGGAGGAGCTGGACCTCACCGCCTGCCGCCAGCTGAAGGACGAGGCCATCGTGTACCTGGCGCAGAGGCGCGGCGCTGGCCTCCGCAGCCTCTCATTGGCTGTCAACGCCAATGTGGGGGATGCCGCGGTCCAGGAGTTGGCTCGCAACTGCCCACAACTCGAGCACCTCGACCTCACTGGCTGCCTCCGTGTCGGAAGCGACGGCGTCAGGTGCCTGGGCCTTGGGGGCAGTGGGATGGGAAGAGGGCAAACCTTCAGCTTCAGGGGGCAGGGTGTAGTGGTCAGAAGACTGAACTGGGGTTCTGGATCTTTTGCGAACCTGGCACACCGTTCTGAACAGAAAGGGTCTCCCAGGATTGCTTAGGTCAGAAAGCTCACAGTTTAAACTTTTTGTTTGTTTGACATAAAAAGTCAATTTCTGGCTTTTCTCCAACCGAGGGAAATCTTACAATCCTGGGTGGGGCTAGGATGACTGTCCCTTTAAGAGGCTGGAAGTCTCCAGCTCCATAGAGCCATGGAGTGTATGATTTCAATTGGGGCTCCCTCTTTTATGTAAAGTGACAAAAAAGCATACCCGGGCTGGAGGGAGACCACTGGGACTTTGGTAGAGCTACTTCGTGGTTGAGTGGACTCCGCTGTGGGTAGAGTGGCCTCTTGCCTCTAGTTTCACCCGCTCCTCCCTCAGGACGTTGGCCGAGTACTGCCCTGCCCTGCGCTCGCTGCGGGTGCGGCACTGCCACCATGTGGCCGAGCCCAGCCTGAGTCGCTTGAGGAAGCGTGGCGTGGACATCGACGTGGAGCCGCCCCTGCATCAGGCCCTGGTGCTACTGCAGGACATGGCCGGGTTCGCTCCCTTTGTCAACCTGCAGGTCTGACCGGCCTGCTGCCTGGAGCACAGCTGGACTGTGTGGCTGGGGCCTGACACTGCGCTGTAGGGCAGCTGAACTGTGGGCCACCTCTGGTGAGGCCAGTGTCCTGGCCTACTCTGGAGCTTCAAATAAAGAGCTTTTTACCCCCTCTTGCCTGGTGCTGCCCTGCTGGAGACTGGGGATGTGAAGTTGGGGAGGAAGGTCAGACAAGCATAGTATCCCAGCCCTGAGGCAGAAATGACCAGAATGCACTCACACCTTCCTTGGGCCACCTTTACTGTGCCCATGGAGGCAGCTCCAAGAATAGGTCATCACTGTGGAGCGAGAAAGTGTAGAAGAGGGGCAGGAAAGGGGAACAGGAGTTCGGGAGGCCCCTCCGTGGGGATACGGGGCTCTTGCATCCCTCTGGGATCTGAGTTAAGAAGGCTCAGGCAGAGTCCACCAAGTGCCTCAGTGGAAACGGTACTTCCTGGCCGGCTTGAGGTTGATGTATGTGGCCTTCATCTCCTCCGCCTCAGGGTTCCGCACATCTTTGAATCGCTCCCCTTTGGTGCTCACTACCTGGTTGTCGATGTACCGGATTAGCTTCTTGGGGGCCTGTCAGGCAATCAGGCAGTTAAGTGGCAGAAGCCGGGAGCCTATCCCACCCACTTGACATCCTCATCAGCCCCAACCCTCTCACCTCCTTGGGAGCCATGGGCCGGTGAGTCTTCTGATCCTCTGCACTATCCACCATCATGTACCTGCCAAAAACTGGCTAGTGAAGCTCCTGCCACCGTGGGAAGACCCTCCAGGGCCTGGCCCGGCCCGGCCCGGCCCGGCCCAGCCCAGCCCAGCCTGGCCCAGCCCAGACTCACTTCTGCAGGATGAAGGACTTCAGCTCATCCTTTTGGGGCCCTCTGAGCCGCCTGGGCAGGTCCTGTGAAGAGGGGAGGCCTGGTCTAGGCCCAAGGGTACCAGCAAGGGAAACAGATGAGGATAGGTGGGGATGGGGGCTTAGCACCGAAGTGGAATGTAGCTGAGGCTACGTGGATGGGAGCATGTGGATGGGAGAGGATACCTGGTTGGGGCCATCCCAGGCTGGAGGCCCCTCTTCCTTCCCCTCCACCAGCATCTGCACAGCCTCCTCCAAGTCCCCACGGGCTTTGGCTAGCACCCACTGTGCCTGCTCCACGGAACAGGTTGGGAACACCTCCAGGAGTACATCCACCCCCGGCAGCAGCTCCTCCTCAGTGCCGGCTGCCTGTGGGCACACATGTTGACAAGAGGCAGGACTTCCTCCTTTCCAGCCCCCGAGGTCCACTACTGGTCCCCTGTCTACCAGTACCTCGTCTTGGGTGTCCCCCGCAGCAGAAGACCTGGTCTCTTCTTTGAGCTTTTCAGGCTGCTGTAGGGGCTCTGGGGAGATAGGCACCTGACTTTGCACACCAGAGCTCTGCGGTTGCAGGTTCTCTTAAGAGGCAGAGAGAGCATCAGGTTTGCCAGGGCCTTGCGGGAATGGGATTAGGAATCACCTGAGTGCACAGCCCCCAAACTCACCTTTGTTCCTGGCATCACTCAGCTGCCCTGAGAGCTTCTGCATCATGTCCCCTATTGTGCCCCTGAGAAGACGTGGGAAGTGGTGAGAAGGTAACTGTGCCTCTCCCCACAATCACCCAGCCCTCCTCCTCCCCGCCTCCTCCTCCTCTTGGCCCCAGCCAGGCCCCACCTGGGGATGTGGGCAAAGCCAGGCACATAGGCCTCCATCATCTCAGTGAAGGCCTCCATATCGAAGTTCTCGTCTGATGGACCTGAGGGGCCCAGGTCCTCCAGGACCCCAAGCACATAGGAAAAGATGACCTCATCCAAGCCGCTGTAGGAACAGGACAAGTCCTGGGTAGGACACGGGTGTCTCTAGCATTCCCCGCAGCCCGACTCCAGCCCTCAGCTTCAGGCGTCCATGAGTCCGACTGCAGTCCTTGAGGCCAGAAAGTATCCCACCCTCCCTCAGAGCTCAGGGTTCTCATCTGTCCAACAAAGGTGACGGGGACAGGATGAGAAGTAAGGCCAACTTGGCAAATCACAGTCAGCCCTCCTCTACCTCAGGAGTAGGGCTGAGTGCTTCCCCCGTCTTTCCACTGGCCAGGGCCAGCGTATGCCTGGCAGCTCCAACCCTGGCCCTAGCACGATCCTTGTGGGGAAGCTGCCTCTACCTGAGGTCGGCCTCTGGGAGGTGCGTCTGGACAAAGGTGAGGAGGGCTGCACCGACAATCCTCTCCAGCTCCATGTTCTCTCTTCTGAAGGGACATAGACAGACAGGGTTGCCAGGCCCTCCTTCTGCCTGCCCCTACCCACTGTTTCTGGGGGCGGCAGCTCCTCCCTCCTGGCCTGCTGTGGAGCCATCTACTGATGCTCCAACCAGAGCCCCCTCTCCAACCCATCTCTTACCTCCTCCAGCCTGAGACAGGGCAGGGCACTGTGGAGGCCTCCAGAAGAAGCGTCCATGCCCCTGCCTTACCATCTCTCCCTATCCCCCATCTCATTCCCCATGGCAGGCCCAGCCCCTCTGGCAAGAAGCCAAGGTCTTGGGGTCACATGCCTCCTGGCTCAGGAATCCCACCACTGAGGGGGCCATTTGGTCCCTAAGTCCAACCACAAGGGGCTCCATTGTCCAGTCCCCCAAGGAACAGGCCTCAGGACCAAGCATAACCCTTCCCCCACCCAGAGCTGGCCACCCACCCTCTGCACAAAGGGCTTTTCTGGCTCTGCTGCCCAGATAGAAGGGGAACCTTTCATGGAGTCTCCTGCCCAACCCCTGCTCTTCCAGCAGCGTGGGGCTATGTACAGAGGACTTTCCACCCTCCTTCCCAAGGCCCAGGAGCTCCACCAGCTCTGGCCCTTGCACACCTCACCAAGCTCTCCTCTCCCTCCTTGCTCACTCCACTCCTGCCCCACCAGCCTCCCCACTGTTCCTCAAATTTGCTGCAATTCTCCTGCCTATACCCTCCAGACATCCACGGGGCTCAGCTCCTCATTGTCTCCAGGGAGCTGCTCCACTTAGCTCCTCAGAGAGACCTTCCCTGGCTAACCTACAGAAAACAGATATTCCCCACAATCTCTAACAGCTTACCCTGCTACACGGACGTACTACATTTAACAGCATTTTATATTTGCCTGTTGTCTGTCCTCTATACCATGCATAGCCCAAAGGCAGGGGGTGAGGACAGGGGCACTCTGTCCACCTTATTCACCTAGAAAAACACCTGCACTTAGTAGGTGCTCAATACATTCTTGTTGGCTTATTTCTCAGAGATGTGCTTTTGACTCCCAAAAGTCTGTATCTGGTAGCCAAGAACCTGGAAGTGGGAACAAATGTCTCCAAACCCACAGGCCCAAAGGTCAGCTCATCATCCTACCCAGAAAGCTCTCGGGCCCCTCAAATTCCACTCACCCCAAATTCATATCTCCCTATGTATGCACATTCCCCCTGCAAATATAACCTCCGCTTCAGCCGATACTATTTACTTGGCTGCCAAATCTGAAACTTGGGGGTTATTATTTTCTTTTACATTTTGCCGTAGGATACGTGCACTTGCTAGAGATGGAGACAGATAAAGAGGGAAAGTGAGAAATTACACCCCAGAGGGGACGGTCACGCTGCAAACCCTTCTCCATCCTCCTCTCAGTATTTCAAGCATGTATGCCGATGTGCCCAGTGTGTTTTTCAGGACGCCAGGTCTGGGACTCAAACCACTTACTTGGCCATGCGGGATCCAGCTGTCTTAACCACCATCCCACCTGCTGGCTCACATGGGCTGTTTTTGATTGTGCCCTCTCTTACCCAGACCTGCTGCACAGGATCAGTCACCAAGTCCTGTCTATTCCATTCCCTTATTATTTGCCATTCTACACACTTCTCCCCATCTTCTGTTTGGCTTCTGCTCCAAAGTCTCCACCAAAATGTTTCAGGCTAAGACCACTGGTTTCTTTTTTAGGTTTTGGACTAATCAGGTTGAACCACACGAACGCACCAATTTTGTCTGTTTTTGATTTAGAAAAAAAAAAAAAAAAAATCAATTTTGCTCTTTCTGCTGCCCCAACCTTGGTTTCTGCAACATCACAATATCTACTAAATGTGGGTATCCACTCACCTGCAAGAGCTTCCTAACTCTCCTCCTCTCTGCCACCTTTCCCCAACAGCCTCTTTTCCACACCACAGCCGCATAATATTTTTCTTTTCTTTTTTTTTTTTTTTTTGGAGAGTTTTTTTGCTATAGGGCGTGTGCGCTCGCCAGACAGACAGAGAGAGAGAGACAGAAAGCGAGAAATCACCCCCCCAGGGGGGATGGTCACGCCACAATCCCTTCTCCTCCATTCTCCTCTCGGGATCTTGGGCACACGCACACGCACCCAGCGTGAGTTTTAAGCCACCGGGTCTGGGACGCGAACTGCGGTCGACTACATGGGATTCCAGCGACATAGCCATTACGCTAACTGCTGGTTCCCACAGCCGCATAATCTTTACAAAAAGTCATGTCTTCTGCTTAAACTCTATCAGTGAAAGCCAGCTAGATAGCATGGTGGTTAAGGAGGCTGGATCCCACATGGCTGACTGTGGTTCGAGCCCCAGACCCAGTGGCTTGAAAAACACCTTGGGGGTATGTGTGTGCCTAAAATCCTGAGAGAAGAATGGAGAAGGGATTATGGCATGGCCATCCCCTGGGGGCTGCTTTCTTACTCTCCCTCTTTCTCTCCATTAAGCACACATGCCATATAGCAAATTAAAAATAAGGGGCCAACAGGTGGCATGGTTGTCGTGATGCTGTACTTCCACGTGGTTGACTGTGGTTCAAGTCTTGGACCTAGTGTCTTGCTTTCTCACTTACCCTTTCTCTCTTTGTCCGTGTCTGGTCAAATTGAAACAAATAAATACTAATAACAAATAAAGTTAAATAAAAATTTTTGAGAGGTTTTTGCTATAAGGTGCATGCGCTTGCCAGAAAGACAGAGAGACAGAGAGACAGAAAGTGAGAAATCACCCCCCAGGGGGTATGGCCACACCGCACCGCAATCCCTTCTCCTCCATTCTCCTCTTGGGATCTTGGGCATGCACACACACGCGCCTGGCTTGAGTTTAAGCCACCAGGTCCGGGACTTGAACCGCGGTTGCCTACATGAGAGTCCAGCGACATAGCCATTATGATAACTGCTAGTCCCTAAAGTTAAATAAATTTAAAAACAAAAATAAGAAAATGAAATCTATCAGTGTCTTCCTCTTACCCTTCAAATACGTCCAGAATCTTTTCCTGGCTTTTGATTTAGGTCTTTGCCCCTGCCTGTATCTCTCCAGTCTCATCATCCACCATACTCTCCCCAGATCGCACCCTCTATTCCAGCTCTCTTTCCATTTGCCAGCATGCAAGCTTGTTCGTGGCAAAGGCCTTTGTGCAAGCTGTTTCCTCTGCCTGGGTATCCTCCCTTACTCTTTCCTTCCTTCCCCCCACTGCTTTTTAAAAATTTATATGCATAAGCCCGAGAGAGACAGAAAGACAGGGAGAGGGAGAATGCACCTCCCAAAGGAGCATTTCCTTCTCCATTCCTTCATCCTGTTGAGATTTGGGCATGTACGCACATGCATCTAGTATTAGTAGATACAGGATAACCATGTAGGCAGCCACGTGGGATCCAGCTCCCTTAATCACCAGCTACCACCAGCCCTGCTGCCTTTTTTTTTTTTTAATAATTATTTATTATTATTTTAAAATTGTCTATAGGGCACGTGCACTCACCAGAGAAGATAGAAAGCGAGAGAAGTGAGAAAACAAGCCTCCACGTCAGGGACTTGAACCACAGATGGCCATGTGGGAACCTGGCACCTCAACCACCATGCCACCTGCTGGTCCCCTGCTGACTCTTTCTTATCTTTTGGGTCTCAGTTTGAAATTCTATTCCTTCGTGGTTAAGGTGCTGGATCTCACATGGCCTATTCTGTGGTTCGAGTCCCAAACCCAGTGGTTTGAAAAACATGCCAGGAGCGTGTGTGCCCAAAATCCTGAGAGGAGATTAAAGGAGAAGGGAGTGTGACATGGCCATCCCCCCCCCTGGGGGGGGTGATTTCTCACTTTCTGTCTGTCTCTCTCCAGCAAGCACACAAACCCTATGGAAAAAAAAGTCCATGAAAAAACAATAATTATTCCTCAAGGGATGCTGCCACTGACTCTAAAACTGGTTTGGTCTTACCATCTTACACCCTCATTACAGGCTGCACTTTTCCTACTAAGCAGCACCTCCACAGCTGTAATTAAAACACTGTAGACACTGTTTAATGCTTCTTCCAGTTGTTTCATGAAGGCAGGGTGACACGGCTTATTCCCCAGTGTGCACTCAGCATCTCCTTGAAGTCGGCATTCAGTAACAGTTACTCCCATTTTACAGACGAAGAGACTAAAGCTCAGTGCTTGACTGTGATAACCGAGATTTAAATCCAGGTCACCTACTTTGGTATCTATTCTAGGGGCTACTCTGGGGAAGACTTTCAAGTGGGTTGAGACAGGACTACCATCTAGGAAATTTCACCTTGCCTTAAAGCTTGCCACTTCCATCCCCTTCTCCACCCACACAACCTTCCTCGGCACATCCTTCCTGCATAGGGCTCCTAATTTTTCTCCCCATACAGTCCCTGAGCTAGAGAATCGGTCTACCAAAGTTTCTTAGGCTGCAACCTAAGAAGCAAGGACTCTCCAGAGCACTAAGTAAAAAAGTATGAAAAATTTCAAATTCCAGATATACCCCGAATAACCCCATTACTTCTTGGCAGCCCCGCATCAGGGATTACTGTTAGGTGGTGCCTATGAGATGTGACTATTGTCCTGTCACAAGTCCTGCTTAAACACTTCTGAAGATGGTAATAACAGTTAGCATTTGCTGATTGGTTAGCAGGCATTATTCTAAGCATTTTAAAAGTACTAATTTACCTACTCCTCACCATAACCCTAAAATGAAGTTACTGACATTATCCCATTTTACCTAAAAGAAAATGGAGCACTGAGAGGTTAAATAACTTGCCAAAGGTACAGAGCAAGTTAAGTCACAGAATTTCATGCAGCCAGGGTTCTGGCTCCAGAACCCTCACTGTCAGCCACACTATACCATTTCTCCTGATGCAAACTGTGGCCCCAGCTTACATTCTGATCCTCTTCCCCTGCCAAGCTGGCTGTCTTGTGCACTTCCAAATCCTTGCTCACACCATTCTCTCTCCCTCTGCCTCTCTAAATGACATTCTGCAGGACTCACTTCCCCTCTGAAGCCAGTTCTGACTACCCCACTTTCTTTGCCCCCAGGTGGTCTGACAGTTTCCCAAAGGCCAGGCACAAATGCTCAAAGAGACCCTCTGGATAAATTTAAGTGAGAATGGGGTATGGAGTACCATGCTGCTTCCCTGGGGTGGGGAAATACTGAAAGTGAAGGGAGGGAATGCCATGTGAGAGGTGGAATCTTGGGAACCGGCTTCTGGGGAACTTAGGGAGGCAGCAAAGGTTGCAGCACGGAAGTCTTCACTGCTTCTCCCAGCCCCTATGAAGCCCTGCCTCTGGGGACTGAAGCCCATAATGCAGGCCCCAGAGAATATAATTTTCTCCTGACCCCCCAAGTCAGCCCTTAGAAGCTCCAAGGGCAGAGAGGGGAACAAGGAATCTCGGTATCTAAAGTCAGGCGCACAAACTAGCGGAGCGGGAGCACAGGAAGTCGGACCGCGATCATGGCCGACCCCTGAAGCAGCAGCTCCCTAAACCCACTGGCTGGGCAGCCGTAAGCGTCCACAATAGCGGGTTCCGAGGC